ATATATATATATATATATATATATATATTATATATGTATATATGAAAAATATATCAAAAATGCATGTGGGTATTCAAATGAAAGCTCTTGATAAGTGTAACATCAAAATGAGCTTATATCTTAAAATATATCATCAGTTGACAAAATATAATATAATTTCTTAATTATTGAAATTTTTAAAGATATAAGCTCATCTTGATGTTATGCTCATTGAGACTTTTCATTTGAGTACCCACATCAATTTTTCATATATTTTATATATTTATATATATAGTATATAAATGAAAAATATATCAAAAATGCATGTGGGTATTCAAATGAAAGCTTTTGGTAAGTGTAACATCAGGATGAGCTTATATCTTCAAAAACGTCAATAGTTAAGAAAGTACAGTGCAATTTAACAAAAGTTAGGATTTCATTTTTTTAAACATATTTTAAATTAAGATTGTCCAATTTTTTGTTTTACATTATATTAATTAATCTTTTGAGAAACAAAATTAATGCTTTTAAATAATATTTTCTAAAGTTTAATAATTAATTTCAATCGACAAAGTCAATCATCCGGATACACCAATTATTGACAGGCTGATAAATCGATTGATCCAACTAGTGACATACCGTTGGACCAATTACTGACACCCTTAATGCTTACTTGTCACCATTAATCTGATCTAAATACAATAAGTAAAGTCTGATTGGAGAGGTTACAGCTTGGTATAAACTCACCTCTCAATATCACATCCATATATTTTGTGTACCAATTATTGACACCAATTATTTTATAATTAATAACCATTCAGTTGAATGTAAATATCCGATATTGTTAATTTTCAATACTTAATTTATTTATTAAAAAAAAATATTTAATTTGATTAGTTCAAAAAATAATTAAAAATCTGGAAATTTTAGTGCTTACTTCTAGTTTATTTTACGAGCTTAAGAATACTAAACTTTATTATTTTAATTAATTAATCTTTCTCATTAATTTTTTTTAATTCTTGTATAAAAAAATTGTTATTAACATTGTAGATAAATAAGATCTAAAATAAAATAGCGTGTCAATAATTGGATCCCTGTCACTAATTGATGCCTTTACCTTAGTAATAGCTTTAGTAAATAGTCAAAATAGTTATAAGTTTTCAGAACTGGGTTCGAATCCCAAGAGCGTCGAAAAAATAAAAAATGATTTTTATTTAAAATAAAATTTGTTGGTATTTTTTCTATAGCTTTTTATAATTAATTATTACTATTATTAATGAGAAATGGCACATATTTTATTTTGTTCACCCATTTCTTTATAACATAATTTTTTATTATACGTTTTACGCCTAAATATTTATCTTTTATTATTAAACTTATTTCTAGTGTTATATATTGTTATAATTATTATTATTATTATTAATCATTTTATAACTATTATTATAGTATAATTATAACGCGATTGTATCAAGTCTTAAATAATTAAGTTTATTTGTACACAATGCGAAAGAAAGTTATACTTTTTAAGCTCATGTCAACAATTTACAAGCAATTGTATTATTTTTTATTTATTTTCAAAATTTTTTATTGGTACTTTTAATAAAAATTAGCAAATCAGACTCAAATATTGTTCGAGCTGGTAATTGTTCGATTTTTATTTATTAATGATTAAAAATTTTTAAATAATCAACAATAAAAATTAATTGAGTAACGGTGACAATTTTTTAAATTAAAAAATTTTTTCTCAGTCTCTAAATATTATTAATTAAAAAAGGTAAAGTACCCAGTAGTTGAACAGGTTTTAAAGTAAAACGTATTTGACCCTACTTTTAATATATAAAGATGTAATTATTACAAATTAGTGATTTTCATGAAAATATAAACAATTTCGATTAGCAAAATAACAAGGATAGAATATTTATATTTTGACAACGTTTTTAAGATAGACTATCAAAGGAGTAGTAGTTGAACAATCAATTCTGACAAGCGTAAGTAGTTGAACACTCCGGGAGCAGTAGTTTAACTAATAAAATATATGCCAATAGGCACACCAAAAATTTTCAACGTTTTATTGAAATATCTAAAGAATTATAACATATTATTGATTAATATTAAAAAATAAAAACTATCAATATTTAATATTCATTTAAAAATGAGAAACATTTGTATTTGATTTTTTAATTACATTTTTTATGAATGACAAAGTAAATTTTCAATTATAAATCAAAAAAACTCTATTCAAAACGTTCAATAATTTTTAACTACACTAATTTTTAGCTATAAAACTTATTTAATTAGCAGTAATTAATACAAATGACAATGCTGATCACTAGTCTATAAACCTATTAGAGATTAGAGTGCTGTTAAAATTATATGGCCCCAGCTTATTCAGGTTATGGGTACCGCTTTTTAAATTTCGAGGTATAGTTAAACGCTAAAATTTAATATAAAAATTATAGTTTATGTCTTTGCCAAAAATATGTATTATTTAGAAAAGACTATTTCATTGGGTGGTACAATTTTTTTTACTTAAAATAATATACCGTTTTTTTTACTGATTGTTCGGTTTACGGTTTAGTACCTTTTTCATGAAAAAAATAATCTATCGGCTATTCTCGACTTTTAAGTTAACAAAAATCTAATTGTTTTGATTTATAATTGAAAAAACTTACAGAAATCAATTACTGTATCATTGAATAATTATAACATGTGCATATTACTCATAATAAATCGGATTTTGTATTACAACAATTCAAAAATTCTGTTCAAGTATTAGTCCCTTTTTTATTAGTGTTTTACTGGGTACTTTACCTTATTTATATAATTAAAAACAAAAGAAGAATTTCATTTGATATAATTGAAATGATTTTAATCTTAATAATTTGCTCAGTTAAGTTTTGAACCAAAAATTATTATTTAAATTTGAATTTTCGCGGGAGAGTGACGTAGTTCTGGATCCGGTGTGCAACGCCATCTTACAGAAAACTTAAAGAACTTTGCTAAGGCGGGAGAATTTAAATGTCAAATTTAATTTATTTAATTATTTTTATAATTAATAAATTCACGGATTTTGTATTAAAACAATTTAAAAAGTCTGTTCAAGTACTGGTTCTATTTTTAATTAAATTAATTAGATTTTAATTAAATTTATTATTTAATTAATTTTTTAATTAAATTTAGAGGTTAAAATAACAATTTTCTAATTTTTTTTAAATAGCGCGCGCTTTTTTTTGCGCATGTGCGCAAACTGTTCCTTGAGTTCCAAGGTTAAAAATCGACCAATAAGAGACTGAAAAAATATTTTTCGACTTTTTATGAACAAATAGATCATTTAATGAGTTCTAAATAATAAAAATAATAATAAATTGTCACCTGAGATTTCAAAAATGTCATTAACAATCTCAATAAAACTATAACAAATACCTCAAAGTTAAAATTTATAATTAAAGGCCAAAAAAGTGCCTTAAAAAAATCTTTGGATCTAAATTTGACCCTAAAGTACTTACAATAATAATAAATTTTAAAAATAATCAATAAAGAATTGCGGTTAAAATTTCTATGCCCCAGCCCAGGCCTACTCTAATAAAAAAAAAAATAAAATCAGATTGCATTTGGCCGCCTTATAATACACCCTCATTTATTCATTAAATAAATCGACATTTTCTCTCTAAAAAATAGTTTTTAGCAGTTGACAAAAATACGACACGCTTTAAACTTTATTATTTATTAAACTCGATCTAGTAAAAATTTTCATTTATTTATTATTAGTTTTTTTTTAACCTGATAATTTTTTTGTACGTTGTGTCTGAGAGCAAGGCCATGGCGCCATATATTTTACCAATAAATTCTTTTTTTTTTTATCAGTATCATTATTATTATAATTACTCATTAATTAGTGAACAAGGTTAGTTACTTTTAGCTTAACCAAAATATATATTTGCATCTACTATTTAAATTAATGAGACGTTATTTCAAATTATATTATTTTGTTCGTAATTTTTTTTTTTAAAAAGTAATAACAGATTTTAGTACTAAAAAATATTTCTTAAATTAATTAAAATAATTGAAGAAATTTAAATTTATTATTCGATACCTCGTGGTCCGTCGATTGGCATTGTGTGAAGCACTTCGTCGAGTAGTTGTAATGCTCTGTGTAAGTGTACCTGAAAAAAAAAAAAAAAAAAAAAAAACTTTTTTTAAAGAACTTTTATACTACGATGGCGATCGATTCCAAAATCCAACCAACTTTTCTACTCAAAAGATAACTTTGACTGTTGCAAACCGCGTTGAAATTGGTAAATTCATTTAAGAAAAATAGTAGCGAAAAATTGTCGAAAAAGTGTTTTTTTTCACATCACTTCTAAATTTCTTAAGTAATTGCTTCTTTAAGGATTCAGTTATCGTTTTTTGTTTGAAATCGTGCGTCAAATACATTAATAAGCTGCATCAAAATCGGTTGGCTTACTCGAGAGATATTGCAATTCAAAATCTTCATTGAAGTGTTTTTTTTTTATAGAAATTTTTATTAAAAAAATTTATAAAAATTACTTCAATCCAGCAAGGTGTCTCTTTGATGCTTTGTCGAGGATAATCAGGACCCCAACCCTTGACAAAGCTCAGTCGTAGAATACAAAGTCTTCTTAAATCATCAACACCTATTCCTGCTGCTGCACTTAAACCTTCAAATTTAAAAGTTATTTATAAAAAAATTTTTTTCTTAATTATTTAAATCATCTTTAAAAAAATTAACAATTTAAAACGCTTTTTAAATTAAATTTAACATTCAAATTTTCCCGCCTTAGTAAAGTTCTTAAAATTTTCTGTAAGATGGCGTTGCGCACCGGATCCAGAACTACGTCACTCTCCCGCCAAAATTTAAATTCAAATAATAATTTTTAATTTTAAATTCAACTGAACAAATTTTTAAGATTAAAATCTTTCCAATTACGTTAAATTTAATTTAATTAAAAAGTTTTCCTTATGTTTTCTAATTATATAAATGATATACTGCAATTATTTTAATAAAATACTTTAATGAAAAAATTTTTTTGCGGATCAATTGTCTGAAGATGAATGTTCGCGTCTCGAAATAAATAAATCTTTTTAATTTCTAAATTTAAATACTAAATCTTGAGTAATTTAAAACTAATATCATTTTAAAAATGAGGTATTGAAATAAATAAGAAAAATTACTTTTAGTAATTGGCTGGCCATGAGTCAAATGTCCAGCAACAGCGGCAGCTTGAGCAGCAGCAGCGGCTTGAGCAGTAGAAGCCTGAGCTCTCATTTGCTTATGGCACTGCCTTAAATCAAAGACTTTAATGTACGCTTGTGGGTAGATTTTGTGAACTGCGTCACCAGGTGCGCGTCCAGCCTCGCGGTCCAGGTAGTATGATTGGACAAAGACACTGTGCTCGCTCTGGCATCTGAGCCAGACATCGCCTTCACCGCGTAAGTCTAGAACTACTCCTTTACCTGAAAATAATTAACCATTATAATGGTTAATATAGCAATCTTTTTCAAGGCTTGAGCAAGTCTGGTCTCAATTTCGATAGTTGTTAGTGTCTTTTTCTACCTATGGATCTTGCTCCAGATACTTGTAGCAAATTCAATTGACAAGTCTTGAACAAGCCTTGTACAAGAACTTTCGGCCAGATTATAGCTCAACAATTGTGTAAGAAAATTGAGAAAATCTGAAGATGCTTATCGATAAACTAACTATATCAATTCTTGAGAAAGACTGACACCAGAAGCATGCTGAATATACTTGTGCAAGACTTGCTCAAGATCTGCTAAAGATCAAATGTTTTCGAATGACCGTTTTTATCATTCTACCCCTCCTATATTTACTATAGGATCAGTGGATCTCATTCAGCTTAACCTTTTAGAGTACAGACCTACTGTTTTATCGATCAAGACAAAATTATTTTAAAATGACCACCACTGAATCAATACATCTTCAAGTAGTTGTCGGGGAAAAAGTGCTATAAAATATATAATGGATGATGCATCTTGAGCAAATCTTGAGCAAGTCACGCTTCAACATTTGCTGTTAGTTTTTGGTTGACAAATGCTTTAGAAATGAACAAATTACTGAGAATTACGGATCTTGTGCAAATCTTGAGCAAGTCATGGGTGTGTCTGTTGTGAGTTTCTGATTCAAAAAATCCGCCAAAAAGTTTTTCAATGCACCTTGCATTAGACTTGTCTCATATTCTTGCACAAGATGTCTTGAGCTAGTTATATAACTAACTCGGTTGTTCCTGGAACTTCTGTTCCTAGAACATCAGCTTCTGTAACTATTGTTAATGGAACTGATGTTTCTAGAATTATTATTCCTGGAACTGATGTTCCTAGAACTATTGTTCCTGGAACTGATGTTCCTAGAACTATTGTTCCTGGAACTGATGTTCCTAGAACTATTGTTCCTGGAACTATATAACCGACCATATATGGTCGATTCTCTATAAGGATGTTTTTTGCTGTCCCAGGCATTTTTTTATTAGAAAAATTCTAATTTTGTTACTAAAAAAAATTTATTACGAAAGTAAAAAAACATTTCTATTTGGAGCATTGAAAACTAAAATGAAATAAATTTTGGTTTTTTTGCTATAAATTGGTAAACCATCGAAATAGTCCCCTGGGCTGTCCCATTCCCAAAATTAAAACTTTAAGATAAAATTTTAAGTTATTCGTCCATAATATTATAATATAACACACAAATATCGAAAAAGCAAAAATTAAATCTGTTTATTTATTATGATTAAGATAGTTTTGTAGCCCTTGTTAATTTTTTTTTCTAATAAAATCAAAAATAATTTGGTCTGACAATTTTCTACAGATTTAAGACGTCCTTACAGAGAATCACCCATATGTAGAAAAATTAATAATTACCTATATGAAGCCGAGCACGTTCACTTTGTTCAGTACGATGCACATTACTAAGTGCGCCCAAGCAAAAACGATTACCACCACTAGGATCAACGTAACCATCCACAGTTACTGTTGGACATCCACTGCTTACTTTGAATGTCTCTCCTACTTGTGTGTCCAATTCAAAGTACCCCACTGAGCACCAGTACTCCGGAGCTGGTTGGGTTGATAATAATCCACTCATAGTACCTCCAACTTCACTTCCATGCCCTGAAAAAATTGTTTAATTAAAAAAATAAAGAAATTTGACCATTTAAAAATATTTAATTTACAATTATAAGTCTGGTGCAGATGTCGATGATCTGGTGGCTGCATACTCTGAGTATAAGTCAAAGTATTCGCTCCAGTCCACTGAGGACCACCATGATTGTAAGGATTAGCTCCAGAAGCAACAGCAAATCCATTCTGATGGTGCAAGTGTGCTGGAGATACAGGAGAACTTTGTGTTCCGCCTGTTGATTTATTTTTTAATCAACCAATCGTTACTTAAGGTATCTTTATTATTTTTATTATCATTAATCATGATTATGATCATTACCAAGTGACGCAGTTAGAGCATCAACTGTTGGAGCAGCTGAATTTAAATCCTGAGGTGGAGTATTGGTGCTGTAAAATTGGTCTGATGATTGAGCTTGTGTGGGACTTAGAATTGGAGCGCCAGGCGCTGAACCACCGGTTAATGATTGCTGTTGTTGAGGCACTGGGTGTCCCATTTGATGAACTACGGCTTTAATTGATATTTTGTAATTTATTTGTTGAATAGAAAATCTATTGGATGAATTTAGGGGATAATTCTGATTTGTAGCTTTGAAAAAAAAATTCATTAATTAAGAAATGACCTTGTATCTTGTGAACTATTGATATTTTTTAAGATATAAGCTCATCTTGATGTTACACTCATCGAGACCTTTCATTTGAGTACCCACATCAATTTTTTATATATTTTATATATTTATATATATATTATATATATGTATATATGAAATATATATAAAAATGCATGTGGGTACTCAAATGAAAGCTCTTGATGAGTATAACATCAAGATGAGCTTATATCTTAAAAATATATATTATATATATGTATATATCAAAAATATATCAAAAATTGATGTAGGTACTCAAATGAAAGCTCTTGATGAGTGTAACATGAAGATGAGCTTATATTTTTAAAATATATAGTATATACACGGAAAGAACAAGATGCCATTGAATATCATCCCAGATTATACTCAGTGATATCTGTGGTGAAAAAAAAAAAAAAATTCAGAGTATTTAAAAAAATCCAGATTATACTAGCTACTATCTGAAATTTTTTTTCACTCAATATAATCTGGGATGAAAAAATTGTATTTTTTTATTTAAAAAAATTTTTTTTGCGCTCATTTTTTTAAATGATTAATTTTCATTCATCAAGAAATGACCTTGTATCTTGTAAACTATTAACATTTTTCAAGATATAAGCTCACCCTGACATTACATTCATCAAGAC